ACCACATCATCAACATTAAGGGACATGGGCAGCTGTGAGGAGGAGGGTTTATTCTCCAGGTCTTTAACCATTTTCCAGAACTTCTTGGGGTTAGACCCACAGAGAGAGAACTGCTCCTTAAAGTATCTAACTTTGACCTTCCGGATAGCCTGAGTGCACTTATTTCTCCTTTGCCTGAATGAGAGCCAGTCAGCCTGAGTATGCGTGTGCCGAGCCTTTTGCCAAATGGAATTCTTGAGGTGAAGTAACTCTGCCAGATCACGGTCGAACCAGGGGCTGAACCTGTTTTTAATTCTCATTTTCTTTATGGGGGCATGTTTGTTAACAATACCACTGAAAATATCAAAAAAGAAGGTCCAAGCGTCTTCGACAGAGGGGATCAAGCTGATTCTATACCAATTTACAGAGGCCAGGTCATGAAGGAAGGCTTGCTCATATTATTTTTTTAGCAAGCGTCTATGACAAATCAGGACAGGTCGTTTCACTGAGCAGCCATTACGAATACAGGCAGAAAACACCAGACTGATACCTATCAGGATTATTTGTGAAGATAACATCAAGGAGAGTAGCCTTTTCTGGGTGTTTGGAGTCCCGTTGGTAATAATCTGAGAAAGATTTAGGGAGTCCCATTGCTTTAGGACTTGGTCAGGTGGTTTAAGCATGTCCCAGTTTAGGTCACCTAGAAGGACAAATTCAGACTTAGTATAAGGGGCCAGGAGAGATTTTAGGGCATTTAGGGTACAGGCCGGTGCTTATGGTGGACGATAACACCCAGTAACAGTCAACAAAGAGCTATTTGAAAGTTTAATGCTTAAAACCAGCAAATCAAATTGTTTGGGGACAGACTTGGTGGAGACAACTGAGCACTGAAGGTGTTCCTTGGTAAAGATTGCTACTCTACCACCTTTGGAAGATCTGTCTTGCCGAAAAAGATTTTAACCAGAAAGGTTAACATCAGTCTTCAAAACACTCTTTCTTAACCACGTCTCAGTAATGACAAACACATCTGGATTGGAGCACTTTCAATTGATCAATTTTAGGTAATAAGCTTCTAGTGTTAACGTGCAGAAAACCCAGGCTTTTACGAGAGCAGAAATCAGTGAAGCAGATTTCAGAGCACAAGTCAGAATTGGGACAGTAGCAACAGTAGATGGGCCAGGGTGTACATGCACATTTCCAGATATCATCAGCAGTAATACAATCAGGGCACGGCAGAGGACAGGGAGAGCTCTGCAGTGTTGATTTATGACATTTGAATGTGCATTAGATGGCAACAAGATCATATTGTACAGCAATTTCATCAGGTAACATGAATACAAAGCCGGCGAGAGGTGGTTAGAATAGGATGGGAGGCCAAGAGTCTGAGTGTGGGAACAAACATAGTCTGTCCCACAGTTGGGTAAACAAGCAAGTTCATAGTCAACATGGAAAAAAAGCCTGGGGTTACAAACTAGTTTAATTTCTTCAACAAAGGAAATATATATACACTATATATGTTTTGGTTTTATATAGTATTTAGTTCCTCTAAATATTTTTCTTCTCATTCTCACCTTCAAAGTCACAAAAAGGCAGCGGGTTAACTACTACATATAAGCAAGGTGTTTCTAATGTTTTGTATACTCAGTGTACACATTTGTATGCATGACTGGTTTCATCTGCATCAGTAAGCCAACAAGCAAACAAAGCTTGTAAAACCATGGTGTATGGTTCAGTATTACCATTTATCCTTTCATAAAAACATTTAAAAACATGTTTAGCCTAAACAATGACCAAATCATGAATTATCAGCTGGTCCATGAAGGTTTGCAAGGCACCAATAAGTATCCATGTCATTGATGTGTACTTTACAGTACACATAGCAGTTTACAGAAGAAAGTGTTTTAATTATTAATCATTTTAAGTGCTATCCTCTGGGAATACATTGTATGTATGTATGTATGTATGTACAGTGAGGGAAAAAAGTATTTGATCCCCTGCTGATTTTGTACGTTTGCCCACTGACAAAGACATGATCAGTCTATAATTTTAATGGTAGGTTTATTTGAACATAGAATAACAACAAAAAAATCCAGAAAAACGCATGTCAAAAATGTTATCAATTGATTTGCATTTTAATGAGGGAAAGAAGTATTTGACCCCTCTGCAAAACATGACTTAGTACTTGGTGGCAAAACCCTTGTTGGCAATCACAGAGGTCAGACGTTTCTTGTAGTTGGCCACCAGGTTTGCACACATCTCAGGAGGGATTTTGTCCCACTCCTCTTTGCAGATCTTCTCCAAGTCATTAAGGTTTCGAGGCTGACGTTTGGCAACTTGAACCTTCAGCTCCCTCCACAGATTTTCTATGGGATTAAGGTCTGGAGACTGGCTAGGCCACTCCAGGACCTTAATGTGCTTGTTCTTGAGCCACTCCTTTGTTGCCTTGGCCATGTGTTTTGGGTCATTGTCATGCTGGAATACCCATCCACGACCCATTTTCAATGCCCTGGCTGTGGGAAGGAGGTTCTCACCTAAGATTTGACGGTACATGGCCCCGTCCATCGTCCCTTTGATTCGGTGAAGTTGTCCTGTCCCCTTAGCAGAAAAACACCCCCAAAGCATAATGTTTCCACCTCCATGTTTGACGGTGGGGAAGGTGTTCTTGGGGTCATAGGCAGCATTCCTCCTCCTCCACAGGGACGGCCTGTTCAATAGGGCGATATGGGCGACGCACTGCCAAACGGGAAAAGGAAGGGATTTTTTTTCTAATCAATTATATCACGGCAACAGTAGTTATCAGTGTTCACGTCTGATCTGCCAGCCACTAAATGTCAAATCAGGCTAAAGTCGTGCTTCAAATGGCCCCGCCCGTTTTTGGGGCGATTTCAGTCAAGTTGAAAATCGCCCAGAAGTCTCTCATAGCCTGTCATGTAAAATCTATTTTTTTCAAATTTCAAAGCTTTCAATACATTCTCTATGGGTGTCTGTGGGCTTGCACTTACGCGCTTTTGTCATACGTGACGTAACCATGAACGTAACTAAGACAATAGCGGCTAGCAGCGTCTCTGTTGCGACCTGCAGTGTGGCGTTATTTTATGTTTTTAATTTGTAGACTTAGTTTACAAACATTCTGCCAACCATGGATTTCCAGTGGTTGGTTTTGGACTGATCTTGTTGATCGTGTACATACCCGCTACGAACGGACTAAATAATGAAAACGCTGCTGGCAGCGGAATCCCAATACAGCTGGGAGACTTGGCTGGATGACAGAGTCCCGGACAGAGAAGTGGAGCCGGCCGGCTTCACCCTGGTCAGAGCGGACCGCGATCCTGGTAAGAGAGCGACTCTGTACCCCGACATTGAACTGCTTTCTGTGTCATTGCGACCTTACTATCTGCCCCGTGAGTTCCCCCAATTGTTTGTTGCCGTTGTGTACTGTTGATAATCACAAGTTTACTGGAGAACTGAGACCAAGTAGAGACTTTGGACAGGGTGGATATGGTATAATAAAGGCAGTTTATTCAGAGGTAAAGATATCTGGAATCGCATGCACGGACTCGTTCGTCAAACTCTTAGGGAGAAGAGAGCCCCGAAAACATTGTGTGCAGACATTTTTTACAATAAATGATGTAGGTTGAATCTAGTAGTTCTGATCTTCTGATTGGTCCTGATGAGTTGGGCGAGGTCCCCTCCACTGTTGCATTGGCTCTGAGTCGGGTTCTCTGTCTTCAAATGTTCAGCCTAAAGAGAGGGGATTTTTGTGTGTGTGTGTGTGTGTGTTTAACAGTGATGATGTGTGTGTGTGTGTGTGTTATCAGTGATGATGTGTGTGTGTGTGTGTGTGTGTGTGTGTGTCCTCAGAGCAAGAACTCGTGAGTTGGAAGAACTGAGAGACCTATGGCGTGGGTGTTGTCCTTGGCCACCTGCTGACAAGGCTGACAAGATAGGACTCTTTTGTCCATTGTTATAGGATAGGAACAGCATTGATTGAAAACAAACGCCCAACACAAAATGGGTCATGCACAAGATTTTAGTCAGACCAAGCTATAACATTATATATTTACTACGACAGTACATTCAACCAAAAGCTAATATAACAAAGGCATCAGAGATTATTTATAATCTGTCACAGAAACTGGAATCCATCTCCCCAGATCAGTCAATAAATGCTTCTGGTATTGACTTATATGCTGCCCCTGTCTTCATGTTGTTGCTGGACATATCTTTTTTAAAATGTGTGTAGGTCACCTAAATCATCAGAAAAATTGCCCCTCCTGAGAATTTTTTCAGGAGCCGCCACTGCTCCTCCAAACACGGTGAGTTGAGTTGATGCCAAAGAGCTCCATTTTGGTCTCATCTGACCACAACACTTTCACCCAGTTCTCCTCTGAATCATTCAGATGTTCATTGGCAAACTTCAGATGGGCATGTATATGTGCTTTCTTGAGCAGGGGGACCTTGCGGGCGCTGCAGGATTTCAGTCCTTCACGGCGTAGTGTGTTACCAATTGTTTTCTTGGTGACTATGGTCCCAGCTGCCTTGAGATCATTGACAAGATCCTCCTGTGTAGTTCTGGGCTGATTCCTCACCGTTCTTATGATCATTGTAACTCCACGAGGTGAGATCTTGCATGGAGCCCCAGGCCGAGGGAGATTGACAGTTATTTTGTGTTTCTTCCATTTGCGAATAATCGCACCAACTGTTGTCACCTTCTCACCAAGCTGCTTGGCGATGGTCTTGTAGCCCATTCCAGCCTTGTGTAGGTCTACAATCTTGTCCCTGACATCCTTGGAGAGCTCTTTGGTCTTGGCCATGGTGGAGAGTTTGGAATCTGATTGATTGCTTCGGTGGACAGGTGTCTTTTATACAGGTAACAAACTGAGATTAGGAGCACTCCCTTTAAGAGTGTGCTCCTAATCTCAGCTCGTTACCTGTATAAAAGACACCTGGGAGCTAGAAATCTTTCTGATTGAGAGGGGGTCAAATACTTATTTCCCTCATTCAAATGCAAATCAATTTATAACATTTTTGACATGCGTTTTTCTGGATTTTTTTGTTGTTATTCTGTCTCTCACTGTTCAAATAAACCTACCATTAAAATGATAGACTGATCATTTCTTTGTCAGTGGGCAAACGTACAAAATCAGCAGGGGATCAAATACTTTTTTCCCCCACTGTATATGTGTGTATATATATATATATTTAAGAAAAACATGCAGTTTTGCATTGTGCCCTTCTTACCTGTGGTTGCTGTACCAATCCATAAACAGATGTGAGACACCCATCATCAAATAAGTAAAAAGTGAATGCAACAGAACTTGTATAAGTATTTTCATATCAATTAATATTGGCATCATTGCATTATCTCTAGCCATATAATGGAAAAAAATGGATAACCTACAGTGATCCCATTTTATTTAACAGTTCAGTGTTCAAGCCTAGGTGTCGTGACTTTCCCCTTCTTGCACAATCTCCTGTAGTATCTTTTGGTAGAAAGGGGAATAAACCAACTTGTTGAAGTGGACCAGACGGCCAAACCTCATGGCAATCTCTTCCAGCTCTTTGCTGACTGGAGCTAGGCCCCCTGGTAGGGTTGGAGCACTCCTGTGACTGGACTCCAGCAAGGCAAGCAGGTAGGTCTGGATGCGGGAGTCTGAGTAAGGAAATAATTGTCATGCTCAGTGTTAAACTGTCACAGTAGAGCAGCAAACTAGGTATGCTATCATCACAGGCAGATCATGTAATTGCCACGACCACACATGTAAACGATGATCTAGGAACAGACCGAAGATACAGACAAACTATATTTTGCACAGAACTTTATGGAGAGGAATTGGGGAAAGCATTTGGCAAAATACATTAAACTGTGGATGACATAGAATGAAGTTAGGTTACCTATAAGCTTGCAGATGGTGTTGTCTGGGAGAGTAACAGCTGAGATCTGGCCTTTCAGAATGCTCTGCCGGTTGGTGGAGAACGTGGAAAAGCCATGTTCAGACAGACATCCACTTAGCTCCACACACATCCTTTCTCCAATGGTAGCTAAGGCTTCCTCTGCACAGAAAGACCTAAAGACCAAAGTTAAGGGTTGGGTAAGTTCATAAATTCACAAAATGAATGAGGGCCCTGAGTATTATGTATGACAAACAAGAGTAGTTACTATGCCTAAAGATCCGGCTCACCGAAAAGACTGAATGCACATCACTAGTTTAAATGTGTACTTACGGCATGTGCAGCTCTCTGAGCAGAACCCTAATGGTCCTCTTGAGTCTGTCCATAAGGCCTGGCAGGCCTGAGATGGCCTCCCCTGTGGTGTTGTACACTATGAGCAGCACAGACGCCACCAGAACCAGCTGATCCAAGTCCTGCTGCATCTCCTGGAAATGCACCTGGTCCAGGGCAGAGAGAAAAAACGTGATGATTTTCTAAAAGCCAGTCCTAAACCACTGTTAGGCCACAGGCCTGTGCAAGGTGTATGATAGACATGCCTACCTCAGGGAATGGATCAGAGGCGTGGTCCCACTTAAGCAGATGCAGGTAAGCATGGTTGTGCACAGTGAGGGAAGTGGTGGAACTACCTGGCCCAACCGCTTGATCTTCATGGAGTAGAGATTTTTGAGTCTTGAAGCCACTTCTCAGTGAAGTCTAAGGCATCTGCATATTACTCCACAAACATTTACAATGCTTTCAGAAAGTATTCGACCCCTTTGAATTTTTCTAGATTTTGTGTTACAACCTGAATATAAAATGGATTACATTTAGATTTTGTGTCACTGATCTACACACAATAACTCATAATGTCAAACTGGAATTATGTTTTTGGGACATTTTTACAAATTAATAAAACATTAAAAGTTATAATTATGACAAGCCTAAATAACTTCAGGAGTAAAATTAGCTTAACAAGTCAGATAAGTTGCATAGACTAACTGTGTGCAATAATGGTGTGTAACTTGATTTTTGAATGACTACCCCATCTCTGTACCCCAAACATACAATTATCTTTAAGGTCCATCAGTCGAGCAGTGAATTTCAAACACAGATTTGTCATGACTTGGCCTCACAGGTCCTCAACTGGCAGCTTCATTAAATAGTACCCGCAAAACACCAGTCTCAACGTCAACAGTGAAGAGGCGACTCCGGGATGCTGACCTTCTAGGCAGAGTTGCAAAGAAAAAGCCATATCTCAGACTGGCCAATAAAAAGAAAAGATTAAGATGGGCAGTCTGAGATATGGCTTTTTCTTTGCAACTCTGCCTAGAAGGTCAGCATCCCGGAGTCACCTCTTCACTGTTGATGTTGAGACTGGTGTTTTGCGGGTACTATTTAATGAAGCTGCCAGTTGAGGACCTGTGAGGCGCCTGTTTCTCAAACTAGACACTCTAATGTATTTGTCCTCTTGCTCAGTTGTGCCTCCCACTCCTCTTTCTATTGTGGTTAGAGCCAGTTTGCGCTGTTCTGTGAAGGGAGTAGTACACAGCGTTGTATGAGATCTTCAGTTTCTTGGCAATTTCTCGCATGGAATAGCCTTCATTTCTCAGAACAAGAATAGACTGACGAGTTTCAGAAGAACGTTCTTTGTTTCTGGACATTTTGAGCCTGTTAGTCCCCTGTAGCTCAGTTGGTAGAGCATGGCGCTTGCAACGCCAGGGTTGTGGGTTCGTTTCCCACGGGGGGCCAGTATGAAAAATGTATGCACTCACTAACTGTAAGTCGCTCTGGATAAGAGCGTCTGCTAAATGACTAAAATGTAAATGTAATTGCAAAAGGGTTTTCTAATGATCAATTAGCCTTTTAAAATGATAAACTTGGATTAGCAAACACAACGTGCCATTGGAACACGGGACTGATAGTTGCTGATAATGGGTCTCTGTACGCCTATGTAGATATTCCATAAAAAATCAGCAGTTTCCAGCTACAATAGCCATTTACAACATTAACAATGTCTACACTGTCTACACAATGTCTCATCAATTTGATGTTATTTTAAATGGACAAAAAAAATTCTTTTTATAAATAAAACGAATAGAGCTATGCACAGACCACGTCCTAGAGGAAAACCTGGTTCAGTCTGCTTTCCAACAGACACTACCTTTCAGCAGGACAATAACCGAAAACACAAGGCCAAATATACACTGGAGTTACTTACCAAGATGACATTGAATGTTCCTGAGTGGCCTAGTTACAGTTTTGACTCACACTGGCTTGAAAATCTATGGCAAGACTTGAAAATGGATGTCTAGCAATGATCAAAAACCAACTTGACAGAGCTTGAAGAATTTGAAAAATAATAACGGGCAAGTATTGTACAATCCAGGTTTGTAAAGCTCTTAGAGACTTACCCAGAAAGACTCACTGCTGTAATCACTGCCAAAGTTGATTCTAACATGTATTGACTCAGGGGGTTGAATACTTATCTAATCAAAATATATTCGTGTTTTATTTTCCATTCATTTATTTTATTTTTGAATTTTTCTTCCACTTTGACAGAGTATTTTGTGTAGATCATCAACAAAAAAATTACAATTAAATACATTTTAATCCCACTTTAACACAACAAAATGTGGAAAAAGCCAAGGTGTGTGAATAGTTTTCTGAAGGCACTGTACATTATCTACAGTAAGAGCCATTCAAGTGCAGCACAAAACAGCTAAGGTACGTTTGTTCAGCCAATGATGATTGAAGCATTAGTGATTAACAATGATCAGTTGTGAGACGCTAATGATGTCCTTCTTACTGGGTTGTTTTTCGACAAACTCCTGGAATTTCTTCCGTTCATACTCAACGGATTGCTGCAGAAGGTGGGGTCGGATGCTGCTGACTGCAAAATTGGCCATATCAAGTTTCATTTTATCCAACACTGGAAATAATGCCCTATTAGACAGAGTATGACAATATCACAGTAGTGACAGGGATGTTAGAAATTCCAGGCACACATTTTTGGAAAATAAGGCCTTGTTAGTATGACAAAGAAAGGGAGACATCAGTTGTGTCACATAAACATATACACTGCTAAAAAAAATAAAGGGAACACTAAAATAACACATCCTAGATCTGAATGAATGAAATAATCTTATTAAATACTTTTTCTTTTACATAGTTGAATGTGCTGACAACAAAATCACACAAAAATTATCAATGGAAATCAAATGTATCAACCCATGGAGGTCTGGATTTGGAGTCACCCTCAAAATTAAAGTGGAAAACCACACTACAGGCTGATCCAACTTTGATGTAATGTCCTTAAAACAAGTCAAAATGAGGCTCAGTAGTGTGTGTGGCCTCCACGTGCCTGTATGACCTCCCTACAACGCCTGGGCATGCTCCTGATGAGGTGGCGGATGGTCTCCTGAGGGATTGCCTCCCAGACCTGGACTAAAGCATCCGCCAACTCCTGGACAGTCTGTGGTGCAACGTGGCGTTGGTGGATGGAGCGTGACATGATGTCCCAGATGTGCTCAATTGGATTCAGGTCTGGGGAACGGGCGGGCCAGTCCATCGCATCAATGCCTTCCTCTTGCAGGAACTGCTGACACACTCCAGCCACATGAGGTCTTGCAGTAGGAGGAACCCAGGGCCAACCGCACCAGCATATGGTCTCACAAGGGGTCTGAGGATCTCATCTCAGTACCTAATGGCAGTCAGGCTACCTCTGGCGAGCACATGGAGGGCTGTGCGGCACCCCAAAGAAATGCCACCCCACACCATGACTGACCCACCGCCAAACCGGTCATGCTGGAGGATGTTGCAGGCAGCAGAACGTTCTCCACGGCGTCTCCAGACTCTGTCACGTCTGTCACATGTGCTCAGTGTGAACCTGCTTTCATCTGTGAAGAGCACAGGGCGCCAGTGGCGAATTTGCCAATATTGGTGTTCTCTGGCAAATGCCAAACGTCCTGCACGGTGTTGGGCTGTAAGCACAACCCCCACCTGTGGACGTCGGGCCCTCATACCACCCTCATGGAGTCTGTTTCTGACCGTTTGAGCAGACACATGCACATTTGTGGCCTGCTGGATGTCATTTTGCAGGGCTCTGGCAGTGCTGACAGTGCTCCTCCTGCTCCTCCTTGCACAAAGGCGGAGGTAGCAACATAACCCCATTCCAGCACTCAAAAGCATTGACTGCTGACTTACTTTAATAGAGGCACAAGGTCTGTGATTTCCATAAGCTTCCTGATTTCCTCGGCTTGGCTCGGAGCGCAGAGTGAACCCATCATACCAACGACAAACTCAACCACCTTACTGATGTCCAGAGCTCCGTTCTCTGCCTGCTGCTGGATCAGAGGTCTAGTACCTCCTCAATTTGGCCCCCCAGTCGCCCATGACCCGGTAGCAGAAAGGACAGCAGCGTCTAGGAGAATTAATAAAAAATTATCTTTTGAATGATAAAACATGGCCTAGCAAACTTATCCATCAAGGTTATTTGGTCTGTTGTTTGCCTCCAAGTGTCAACGGTCCTCCTAACCCTCAGCTGTCTTACCTCTGATCTCTGCCAGAAGTTTGATTGCATTATCATAAGATGGTGGGTTCTCGCTCCACTGTGCCTCCAGAATGTCCCAGAATGCTTTATGCATCATCTCCTTCACTCTTTTTTTCCAAACTGGGAGCACAGCAAGAAGAAGAATTTTAATGACAATACAAAATGTGGATGCTAGCATCAGTACATCAGGTCTTACAATTGTGCATGGTGTTAAGTTGCGTAATTCGAATCTGGTATCAGAACAGAATTTAACACTAAGTCACTGAATATATTCTCTGCTTTTTTATTAAATGGTAAATGCAATTTTCGTATACACAGGTTCACTGTAACACCTCGCAGGGCAAAACAGAGAACTAACTGTCCCAACCCAAAGTTCTTCTTTTGATACTCTGACAGAGATAGTTCCTGCTCCAGGCAGGCCTATCAGAGTAGAGGCTGAGCGTGGTTTAGACTTACTCAACCTATCGTTGGTGCTCAGGCTGGTCCCAGCCTCTTGGCGCTTCACTGTTGCCAGGCATTAGTTGTTTTTTGCAACTTGTCTCGAGAGTCAGCAACCCTCAGACATAGTTTCCTCTTCTTCATTGTTGCAGTACACATGTCCTTGAGCGGTTTAACAAAGAGGCAGTGTGTGTGTGTGTCACAAGTCACAAGTCTATCCCCCCTAACGGTTCCTCACATTAGTCACAGCTTGTTATGTTAAACAATCTATATCAGTACAGCACAAACCTATTATGTTTAATCATTAATGTATTCTTTTTAAGCTAAGCATCACATCTAATTATAAGAAAATAGATCCCAACAATCCCCCTTTTCACACCCGCTGGGTGTGAACCCAAAATAAGAAATTTCAGGGAAATTTAGGATACCCCCTTTTGACACCCACTAGGGTGTCACTCATTAAAATACAATACAAACAAAAAGAATCACACTTTTATTAATAGGCAATAATGATAATAAAAAGGCCTTCAGTCCTTCCATCTACACCTAACTTGTACTAGGTTGGCTACCAGCCACCCAGGAACTTCAAACCTTCACATAAGGAAAGACAAACATTCACAATAGTTAAAAAAGATTTATAAAACATAAAAACACAAACAGGGAATTTTGATTCCCCCTTTAGACACCCACTAGGGTGTCACTCCACCACCTCACCAATAGCAAACCAAGGGTCATCCTTAGTCAACCCCATTTTCCTCCGAAAGCTAGACTCAGTTTCTGCATCTCCTTCTTGTGCCTCCAGCAAAGGCATCATACCAGCAGCGTGCACGACATCTGTAACAGACTTTCTCAGACAAGGGATAATACAGGCAGCACAGCACATCAAAATTAAAAACATAACGATTAGGGTCAGAAATCCAGTAACCACCAGTGCAGCATACTTACAAAACCACTCACCCAACCAAGAAAACAGTCCGGTTTCCTCCACTCCAGCCATGCTCTTCATTTCAGCTGATAGTTTATCTAAACCAACTAGGGCTTTAGAGATACTCCCGTCAGGACTGGTATTGTTAGGGATAAATGTGCAACAATGGCTTACCATTCTATAGACACCGCCCCTTTCTGCCTGATCTAGAGCCAACCTCTTTTACTAAGTCATGAGTGAGATGGCGGATAATTGTTCAGAGATCCCTTTTGCTGCATCCCTAGTCTAGCCAATAAATCGTTGTTGGTCGTAATAGATATAATTAATCCAATCCACAATTTGGTTTGTCACCCACCAAAAGAACGTGGTAGTAAACCCTTTCCCTAATTGTTTCATAGCTCGGTATCCAGCCGATACCCCCCTTGGTATCCCAATCGCATCCATCTAAATAGGGCTATTCTCCTTCTTGTTAAAACTCCTCCTACATCTGTTTAATCCTTGGTTCCTGGTGACTAATTCTAACTAGCTGAACCAGTAGAACCAGGGCGCACGTATCTAGCCACCCTTTTGGAATTCTCTGCCTTATACTGCCTTTACTGGCACACGCCCACCACACATCGGTTACAGGGGCTGTAAGGTTTAGAATTCTCTCCTGTGCTTAAGTTCGGAAGTCCGTCACATTACTACTATCTCCAATTGATAATTGGTGATGTCTTTGTTTCTCTTTACCCCCCATCTGGATGTTCAGTCCCGCCCGGTCTCATATCCCCGTCCCCAAGTGTGTTTAAACACTTGAGTCTAGGAACAATCCGCCGTGGGGGCCGAACACGAATATAATGGGATTTTATAATCCCAATTTGCTTATTGACATGTACCCCACCCGTTGGCTACGTCCCTAACCCTTATTTTGAATCTGACAGTCTGCCCTTCTCTGACTCCCATTTTGTAGGCCACTCGTCCTTGACGGTCAGTATGTCGGGTTGCTTCTCTTCTCTTTTACTTCTTAACAATGGTAAGGGCATAGCATAATTGGTGGTGGATCTTGACATATCAAGACCATTGCCGAGACTATGATGCAGCTCAAGTCACCCATATTCCCAAAAACCGCCAACCCTCTCCTGTCCTCAGTCTTTCTGCTTGGTACTACCCCATACTCACACCCTGAGAACACACTACAGTGATGATAGGTCGGGGTAGGAGATCTTCGTTAACAGAGGTGATCCCCAGACCCTATTGGTCAAGTTCTTCTCTCTAACTCTGCGTGTGTTCAGTGGTGCTTGCATGTGTTCTTACCTTTTTGCAGTGGGTAACGTGGACCCAGGTTGCTCTTTCTGCTATTCTAATGGCAAAAGCAGTGACCAATATAACCTGATAGGGCCCTTCCCAACAGGCCTGCTTCCAGTTTTTCTTCTTTAGGGACTGGATCCTCACCAGTCACCTGGTTAGATAGAGTGGGTCACCTACTCCTTTAGTTCACCTGTGGGGCACAAAACCTCTGACATACAGGTGTGGTTAATAAACTACCTTCACACGTGTTCAGCTCTCAATTTCTATTTCTGACTGCTCCGGTCCTCCTAACTCGGGTATTCTGTATGGTCTACCAAATCCCTTCTCCAATGGCAATAACCCTTCTTTATCTGGAGTTCTCCTGATCGTCATTAATACTATCGGTAGACCTTGTACCCCATTTCTTACTGCTCTCCTGTGTGTTTTCCTTAACCCCTCTCTAATCATACCGTTCACATCAGTATTATCTTTCTAGACTGTATCTAAAAAATTGTTTTTTAAAGTATTTTGTCCTCTCCTTCGTATATATTTATTATTTAATCCTACCATCTACTATCATCCCCCTTTTGACACGTTTTGCCCATGTGTCAATATTACCACCTACCTAAACAATCACTTAGGTAATATTGGTAATTTATCATCCAATTGCCATCCCTTATTTATTTTTGAGACTGTCTCTTGCTTCTTTATTGCTCCTCCCACTTCCTTTGTCTATAATGGTGGTAAGAGAGCAATTCGACCCTAGGTCACCTTTCACTTCACCCACACACTGAAATAACCCAACTAAGTCTTCCGCCTAGCAACAAAGAATTCAAAAACTATGTTTGTGATTAACCCAGTTATATCTAATAGTCCACAAAATAAAATCTCCCTCATCACCATGTTTCTTTGTTAAGTTGCGTAATTCGAATCTGGTATCAGAACAGAATTTAACACTAAGTCACTGAATATATTCTCAGCTTTTTTATTAATATAATTAGTCAAGCGAATAAATGGTAAATGCAATTTTCGTATATACGGGTTCACTAACACCTCGCAGGGCAAAACAGAGAACTAACTGTCCCAACCCAAAGTTATTATTTTGATACTCTGACAGAGATAGTTCCTGCTCCAGGCAGGCCTATCAGAGTAGAGGCTGAGCGTGGTTTAGACTTACTCAACCTATCGTTGGCGCTCAGGCTGGTCCCAGCCTCTTGGCGCTTCACTGTTGCCGGGCATTAGTTGTTTTTTGCAACTTGTCTCGAGAGTCAGCAACCCTCAGACATAGTTTCCTCTTCTTCATTGTTGCAGTACACGTCCTTGAGCGGTTTAACAAAGAGGCAGTGTGTGTGTGTGTGTGTGTGTCACAAGTCTATCTCAGCCTCCCCCCTAACGGTTCCTCACATTAGTCACAGCTTGTTATGTTAAACAATCTATATCAGTACAGCACAAATCTATTATGTTTAATCATTAATGTATTCTTTTTAAGCTAGGCATCACATCTAATTCTAAGAAAATAGATCCCAACAATGGCACAGCAATCAAAATACATAGTGACAGCCACTTCTATTCGTAAGACTATCCAAGGAGCTCACCTTCCTTCTGCTGGCTCTGAGGGCTTCACCTGGAAGTCAGTGAACACTACCATCTCATGCGCCAGGGCCATGTTGGTCACACCGTTAGCAGTCTCCATGAGCTCATCCACTGACACAAACCTTGGTGGGCTGGCTGTGAAACAGGGGAGCAACGGCAACAGGTTATGCAGCTCTCAAAAGGAATGTGGACCAACTTATATTTACATGACATCTGCTAGTTCTGGACTTCAAGCCTTCATATAGTGCACCTTATTTTGAACCATTAAGGCAGCTATGTCATGACAGGCCCTACTTCCACCCTATAGGTGCTACTCACACTGTGGGGTGTTCCCTCTATGAGGACTGGGTGTGCCTCTTCGGACTCTCTTACTAAGGGACTGTTCAGAGGAGTCAGTCCTGTGCTCTGTGCGCTCGTCTTCTCCACCCCCAGGCTTGTCAGAGTCGTTGGGCATGTTGCTCCTCTCACTTCAGGCCAGGAACTGAAAAATAAATTAGGAAAATTCACTTTCAGTTGTGTGATGTCTGACCATCCTATTATGGTGATGAAACAAAAACAATCCGAGCTCTGTGGCTTTAGCTACATTAGCTTAGATCACTTGCGCAGAACAATGTTAGTTCTTTATCAGGACTAAACCAATGTTGTGTGATTTCAAAATGACATCACCTCCCTACCCCAGCAGATTGCCAGCCTCGCTACATGCACTAGTAAGAAAGTGCCAACAGAAAACAATCTGTGTGCAATAAACCGTATACTGTAGTTTGCTAATTAGCTACCTTGGCTTCGATCGACTTCTTCGGCCAGACATGAAATTGATGGACAGCAGTTGAGTGATGGAGCACACAAGCCTCATGCTCCATCTGCTGGCTGGCAACAAAGCCAAAACAAGTGTGACAGACAGCGATTCGTTACATACTGCCAGACATTTACTTCATTATCGTTGACCTGTCTAGGCTGGCTAGCTAACGTTACATGAGAATCAATTTGGTAACATACTTCTGGCATGATTAATGAAGTTACAGAAATGCGTTGATTGGAAAATTCTAAACGGGATCGGCGGGACGGCCCAACTCTGACGTCATCCCATTGAAGTTGACATGTAAAACCGTAAGGGTTATGATTAAGGTTAGGATTTAGGGTAGGGACATCCCAAGGATCCCCAATAGCACTAAACGTTATTGATCTCCAGTGAAAATGGTCACTAGTTACCACAGACAACGTCATAAACCCCGCCTATTTCTACAATTTCTCTTTAAATGTGATTTTAAACCTAACCTTATTTTAAAGACCAAAAAGCCAATTTTGACTTTGTGGCTGTGGTAAGTGGAAACCGGTGAAAAGGACGTCGAACTGTCAAGAATTCAAAAACTCGGAACCTCAAGAGTTCAAATTTGCAGATTGCCTTTTGGAGACTGTGGGAAACTGAGCTCATCTGTCAATGACTTTCCAAGTCATTGTTTCTCAGAAGGCTACAATTTCAGTATTTATGATTATGACAGTGTGCAATGTATCCCTCAACACAAATAGGCTATATGGGAACTTATTTCAAGACCAATATGTATAAGACTGATGCAATCAGAATTCTCCCACTTGAGTTAAATTCAAGTACCATGGTATCCATGAATTAGGACTTTATTTAAATTTAATTCAGAATCACATGCATACAAAGTGACCTAGGCCTGTACAAAGTGTGATCTTTTGACAACATTGACACTGGCTACACACCCACAGCAGACATAGAATCCCCAAAATACTGAACAAATATTTCTGGGTGGCCTTGGTAAAATTGTCTGAGGAGCCGTTTCCTCTCTTTGGCAGAGTGCTTTGGGTCTTCATTAATATTCCTCAGTAACACCAACAGCTCTTCATGTGTTGTTCTTTGAGTACAGTCAGTATAAGCCTTTGTTGAGACTTGCTGACAGAAGGTGGACCCTAAGGACAACGGAGAGAACAAAATGTAAGTGATGTATTCGAGGCGGTCAGCACTCTCCAAAGCCTACTACCAGATAGATATTTTACCTGTCACATCTGGTTGTTCCCCTTGCACAACTCTGGCAAGTTTGTCACTGACCAGCTTGTGCAAAGATCCTGGTATCTGAGGCAGAAATGTTTCAAGCCAGCCATGTATCAAACGTAATAATGTAATGAATGCATGCACGTTCATAAGGCATTTTAACAAGTGTTAATAATAAAAAGAAATACATGGGATTTACACTGTACAAATCATTAACGCCTTTCGAATATTGAGTTGTGTGTGCGTGCACGCAACCCCCCCCCCCCTCCTTTAGCCCTCAGAACAGCCTCAATTCATTGGGGAATGGACTCTACAATGTGTCAAACGTTCCACAGGGATGCTGGCCCATGTCAACGCCAATGCTTCACAGTTGTGTCAAGTTGCCTGGATTTCTTTTGGGTAGTGGACCATTCTTGATACAGAGGAAACTGTCGAGCATGAAAAGCCTAGCAGCTTTGCAGTTGACACGCAAACCGGTGCACCTGGCACCTACTACCATACCCCGTTCAAAGGCACTTAAAGATTTTGTCTTGCCGATTCACCCTCTGAATTTGCACACATACAAAAGCCATGTCTCAAGGCTTAAACATCCTTCTTTAACCTGTCTCCTTCCCTTGACTACACTGATTGAAGTGGATTTAATAAGTGACATCAGTAAGAGATCATAGCTTTCACCTGGATTCACCTGGTCAGTCTCATAGAAAGAGCACAATGTTTTGTCCACTCTGTACATAGCTTTTCAAGGACCCAAATAAAATCAGTCACTGCTCTGCCAACAAAACAAGAATACCTTAAAAATGTAATGGCGATTGTCCAGCATGAACAGCACCAGGAGGTCCACTTTCTCTTTGGCTAGAGATTTGTTGTGGATGACGGCTCTGGAAAAAGCCATCTTCACAACCATTTTGTTCTCAATCTGAAAATGAGAATATGAGTTATTCCAACATAATGAAGCACAATTTGATTCTGGTTAATCAAGATCTGGCAGGTAGCGTAGCAGTTAAGAGCGTTGGGTCAGTAACCGAATGTCCAGATGTTCAAATCCCAGAGCAGACTGAAAAAAAATATTGAGCAAGGCACTTAACCCTAATTGCTCCTGTAAATTGCTCTGGAGAGAGAGCGTCTGCTAAATGAGTAAAAAGTAAATTAATAATAATGCTCTGACTCCATACGGAAATAACTGACCCATAACAGTAACTGACCCTGACCCCATGGTCTTCACCTCTTTGTCCAGCTTGATTTCCAGCGGGTCTGCAGCCATAGCCATGAAGCTCAACAATGTGTGCAGCTCCTCCCGCTTACGAGGGTGCAGAAGCTTCAAACACAACTGCAGTGCCTCAAGAGCTTTATCAAACTTTGCATTCACTGCAAAAAGAAGTACAAGTTAATGCAGCCCTACACATTGCTTATGATAGACCTAGAAACAGTAAAACAAAAGTTTAATAAAAACAGTGCCAATCATGACCCAAGTAACATAAAGTGGTCATAGCTCCAGTCTCACCTAGTAATTCGGTAACCCCAGTGTAGATGTCGGACATGTGGTTGGCGAGCAGGGATGAGCGGTCGGGCTGGCCGTAGTATTTCACCAGTGTATCATACAGCAGCAGTTTGCACTGCTGGGTGCCGGAGCCTGAGCAACAGGGCTGGCCCTGGCCAACACCCACCACGTCTGGACACTTGGGCAGCTCACGGCTCACCTCTACCACCTGCTGGTCAGGCAGGAACTCCAGACAGTCCAATGCTGCTGTAAGCCAATTATCCTCCCTTCAACAGAAGAAAATAAATAATCCTGTGCCACTGAAACTGTTGTCGCTCACCACCAGGAATATTGTACACCGTAGGCCTGCATGAGATAAGCTCCATTCATGTTAGAAATATCCATATTAGATATTCAAGTAAGACCGATGATTAATCACTACATACTGTGAGTCCTTGAAGGCCCTCAGGATCTCACGGTCCAGGTAGTTGCTGGTGTAAATCAAGTCTGGGTCCCTCTGTGCCATGCGACGGGGAGAGGCCTCTCCGCTTTCCAACAGATTGTCCAACATAGGGAGCTCTACCAGCTGCAGCAGTCTCAGCATCGTCTCCTCCCGCCACACTTCATCAACCACTACAGAGTAAAAGGAATGGACTGTCAACTAGTGTTCAATACTAGTCCTGGGGACCGAGATGCCGCACATTTTAGTTTTTGCCCAACACCAGCACCCCTGATGTAGTTGAATCAGATGATACCAACTTTACACTATGAGAGTAGATGACTTACAGGTCTGTGGTAATGGAGAGTCAATGTGTGCTTTGCTTGGACTCAGACTCAGGTTTCCCAGGCCTGTCTCCAACAGTTGGTTGAATCTCAGAGGTGTACCATGTGAAGAGAGTTGTTCCTCTTGCCTGCAAGATTTGAAGCCAAAGTCAATAAAAAAAACAGACTACATCCAATTATAATGTCATAGACTTCTCAAATACAAAGCAGAAACAGAATCAAAACAAATAACCACCTGCAAGAAGCACTGCAAAAAGTGCTTTGAATACCAGGAGAAAGGACTCCTTTTTCAAGTTCATCCATAGAGGGCATTTGTGTGTTCAGAAACCTGTAGAGGTAACCCTTGCTGTCCTGGAAAACATCTTGCTTCTTATCTTTACCAAAGATTTTTGCTCCAACCGTCTCAAACACCTTACAATCCAGGAGGGTCTGGCAAACACGCACCACCTTGTCCCGTGAGATGTCAGCACCTTCAAAGAACTTGCTCTGGACTATATGGGCCAACACCACGTCCACTGCATCTGACCCCAGAAAGCAGTCATTATGCGACTTCAGGTGAAGGCGCCTTCGCTTCACCTTCACTGACATCTTGAGGTTGGCAATGATGCTCCTCCATATAGGAGAGGCCTGGAATGGCTTATTGACCATGCCATGACCTGTAATACAAAATGAGTAAGAAAAAAGCAAAACAGGTTTGAAAGGTTTAACCATATCCTTGGTTAAACTGTAAGCAGCCAGTGCATGATCAACAGTGATGTTGGCAGACCACAATTCCTTCCAGGACAACAAACTGTCAGTTCAATTAAATAAGAGGGCCTTCTATAGGAGGGGAAAGTAATATTTAGAAGAAAAAAAAACATGGGAGTCATTGGTTTGATTGTTATTTAGAAAAATATGGCGAGCATGTAGGCTAATGAGGAGTTGATTCGTGCATACAACTACATCCATCAATAAATGTCAAAGTTTTTACCTGGAGAACGCAGACACAGCTTTCCAGACAAACTCAGCGCAGCAGCTCTCTCCTTTACTGTGGCCATTCCTCAACTGATAACGATGGTGGTGACGTAATAAAACAAATTCTGTCCAAAACGTTACCCTTTTATACATTCCACAGGTGAGCAAGGGAAACCTTAATTAGCTGTTAAAGACGCAGTAGAATAATAAGTAGAATAGTAGAAGAATGCAGTAGGCATTATCCCTGCTGATTACATCAATTGAACTTGAAAAATTGAGCGAATGTAACAAAAATGTAGGCTATTCATTTCTATTTAAAATAGTAGTATGTAGTGAATAGTAAAACTAACTAGCATGGAGTATTTTGTCAAAGAGGTCGCATTTACATAATTGGTGTCTTCTACTCCAAGGACTACGCTAATACAGCGTCAAGGACACTTCGGAACAATTACACAGTTTGAACACTAGATGGCAGCCAGATCGTGCCACTTAGGTAAAATTACTTGTAATCACAATCTGTTGGTCAGTCAGTTTAAAAGCAATTGGTCAGGTTTCTGTATTCCCATTGTGATTGGTCCCTGAGCCCATATGAGGACCACTTAATAATATAATAATATGCCATTTAGCAGACGCTTTTATCCAAAGCGATTTACAGTCATGTGTGCATACATTTTTACGTATGGGTGGTCCCGGGGATCGAACCCACTACCCTGGCGTTACAAGCGCCATGCTCTACCACTTGAAATGTATAAACGCATCATTCTTTTTTCTCATAGAGAAACGAAGGCCATCGGCTGAAATGCGTTGGGTTTACGTTTAATAAGCACTTTTATAAACGTCCACTGTCCTCCAAGAGTTGCTGAATTTCTTCTTCACTTCAGTCTGCTGCATGCACCTTGGTTGGAGAGCGAGGAAGCAGCAGTGTTCCCTTCCCTTTACAAATGTAGAATAATGTGTACAGGTCTAGCCACACAGTGTATATGGAACGCACAGTCACCCACCGGTCGCCATATTGGGCTGCAGCTACCATACGTCAATTGAGCTACAGAGGACCACGATGTGCTGTTGTGCAGGTGGCAGAACAGCGCCAAATTCAGTCCAGTTTTTCCTCGCGAGCTGAAAGTGTGTTCGGTGCACCCGCTTTTCCCCTGGCTGTGCGCGAGCTTTGCTATGAATTTACCCAACATAGATAACTGACTAACTTAGCTAGATAGCTAGGCCTACACATTACCTTTGTTACTTGCCATGGTTTTTCATAAATGTAGCTCAACAAACAACACTGTCATTAGATATACTCTAAACCTTGCTAGAATATCTATTTTAAATAACTTATTGTGTATTCTAAAAAGTGTGACTGTTTCTTCACATCTACAACGGAAATCAGCTGAAAATGGTAAGTCACCATGCTAGTTAGCCAACTAACGTTAGCTCGCTGGTAGTGGCAGAGGGGATCTAGCGGTAAGTCTATGCCAGTGAATTGTTCTGGTCTCTAGGCCCTTAGGACTTGAAGACACGGTTGGGGAAAGCGATTTACCGGTAGCCCAGAGTTGAGTTGACCACTGACCAGGGGTGTATTCATTAGTCGGATTTCGCTGCAAAACGTTTTGTATGTGTTGCAACGGAAAACGTTTACTCCAAACGTCAAATGTCTTTCAACGAAAACGACTTTCTATTGGACATATTCAGGTAGGCCCCTGCCCGTTACGTTCCATTTGGTTCCTAGAGTCAACTGTTTCCAAGACAAAACGTTTAGGCTGGCAGCTACATCGTGGTTCTCACCTTATAGGGCCTAGGACCTCAGGGGCCTGAGATAGCTTTTAGGGGTCCCTGAAAAAGCAGGGAGAAATCGAACAAATATTAAACTAGATTGATCACCCGGAGACCAGATGATGCTGAACGTTTTTATTCAAAGAGATAGGCATTGAGACATTCAGAGAGATGTACAGGACACAATTAAATTAATTAATTTGATATTCTAGATATAACACTGTTCCGTTATAGAGTAAGTGTTGAGAGTAATTTCGCACAATTTTTCATAAGACTTAGCTATGTTAGATTATTTAAAGTCCGGAATCATATTTGGAACACAGAAAACCAATGTCATACCTGGTTAGTACTCAGGTTCAAATAAGGTAATGTTGAAGTGAAGCAACCTTGTGATGTTGACATACAATAATGTAGAATCGTTTCTAAAACCACAAGCTTTTGATATTTAAATGTTACAAAGTTACAATGACCAAAGTTACAGTGTGTGTTATGATATTTCGAAAAATTATTCAGTTGCGCCATCAATCTTCTCTAAGTGGGTACTTCTAGTCATCTCACACCTCCTAGTGCTAGTAACAATTACTGGTGAATGCATAGGATTATTAGGGTACACATGCTGTAAACACATTAAGGATTATACCCGGAAAGGATGATAAAACTATGCAGAAACAGACTGGCACCATTTTTTAACATGTTAGATATCAGTATATTGATAGAAAAAATATATGATAAGGTAAAAGGCCGCCACCCACCAAGGGTTTACTGTATCGTCTAACTCGAATGTTTTATTTATTTTATTTAACCTTTATTTCAACATGGAGTCATATGTGAGGTACCTTAGTCGTCATATCCTGCATGTTCTTGTCATGTAGTTCCTGGTCATCTAAAGCATTTAAAATCACCCCATAAATTAATCATAATAATGAAAGTAATAGGCATCCGTTATTTTATTTGCACAGTATTTTGTGTGGTATGAATTTATAATGCTTCTTCACATAGGCTAATTAAGCAATAAGGCCCGAGGGGGTGTGGTATATGGCCAATATACCACAGCTATGGGCTGTTCTTATGCACTACGCAACGCGGAGTACCTGCATACAGCCCTTAGCCGTGGTATATTGGCCATATACCACAAACCCCTGAGGTGCCTTATTGCTATTATAAACTGGTTACCAACATAATTAGAGCAGTAAAAAGTAATGTTTTGTCATACCCGTTGTATACGGTCTGATATACCATGGCTATCAGCCAATCAGCATTCAGGGCTCGAACCACCCAGTTTATAATCTCTAACAATATTATTGAGTTCAGTAACCACCTCATGGTAATTATGTAATTGTAGTATATGAACCCTAAATACTTTGCTGTAGCTGTGCTTTAAGAATTTAAGTCAGACCAGCCATCACGATAGATGACATTGTGATTAAATACGTATTATCCTCACCTCAGGGCTTTGATTATGGCAGTGTTTTTTCTCAGTGCATTACAGGACAATAGTCATATAACTCACAAAAGGTCATACAGACTTCATGTTGCAGATGGGAATTATCCCGTTATATGGATGGTGTCCTTTTAATTTAGCTATTCATGGTTTATAGAATTGTTTAATATCTGTTCAAGTGAATCAGTGGAGAGGCAAATAAAGACATTGGCCCCCCAGGTCACAATGTCATTTATGATAGTAGCAAATTCTAACGGGATCATTTCATCCCTGCACATGATTGAGTACGGTGCAGGTTAAATGAAGAAAATCTTTTCTTCTATTAAAGGATCGTCGGCAGTGGAGACCTACTTAAAAAGTCAGTCATGATGAGGACAGGGGGCCATCTACACAGGTCATATTAAATAACTTCTATCATTTAAAATCTGAATGACAGGCAATTTGTCCATTCAGTGTTATGGCTCTGACCCCTATTAGACTCTCAGGACAGCTTCATTTCCACCTTGATGAGTTGAAGATGTTATTCTCAATACAGTGGAACTACTACCAAATCACTACACTGTATCTCCATGCAATGCTGTTTACTTAGTGACTGAAAAGTATAAAGAATGTTTTAATGCTGTAAGCCTATACCAAATATACTTTGTTGTACACACACCATTCAATATTTATTTTTTATTTTTACATTAGTTATCAGATCGTTAAAGAGTCCCAACAAAACCTTCTCCTGACTTGAACATCTTGATGGATGTCAGTGCAGAGTCAGGGAAACGCCCCACCACGGTAAGCTAGGGTTGCTGTAGAAATACATACATTATGATAGAATGCGTATGTCTATGCTTGTTTGCATAACTTACAATATAACTATTGTTGTTCTCTTTAGACTGGAGGACACGACTTTGAAAAGGAGCTGTCGTTATCATATACCCTTCACGAGACAGACAGTGGCATAATTTCCTTACAGGTTTTGGAGTTTAAAACAAGTCTTCATGAAGCAGTGGAAGAACTACATATTCACAGGGTACTGTGATTTATAAAGATCCTTCAAATATCTCTTGATGTTATGGTAACATAAAGATAGATAATAACTTTCTACATTCTCTGAAATTGTTACAGGAATTATAACATAAAACAAAATCCTTATTTTCAGGAATGTCTCCACAATAACAACTTCCTCTTCATCCCATTGTTTACCAGGAAGAGCTCAGACACTTACGGCTCTATTTGGTCAAGTCATGAGGAACTGGGGAGTGTAATTTCGTAGGAGGTATATTATGAGTTTTCAGAGGAAGCTCACAGCCCTTTTTGGCCATCTGGACACAAGCCAGCTGTAGTTGCACATCTGAACGGGGTCATGCAAGCAAAGACCTGGTGAATTAATGTATTTGCTTATAAAAAGGGTACCCCGTAGCAAGCACTTTAAACCTGACACTGGACATGTTTAAAGGTTATAAGAGGAAAATAAACTATTGGCTCTCACATTTTATTGTTATTACCATGTTTCTGGGACAAAAACATTTAATCAATATGATCCTCAGGCATGCCGTTAAAGTAACACTTTGTAGTTCTTTGGTTTATTGGTGTGATGTTAAAAGCATAGGATGTCATGTCAGACTATCTTGCGCCGGCCAAATTCCATCACATTTGTTTTCATATACATTGTGAAGATGGAATAGTGGCAAATACTTTTAACTACACCTATTTAAAATTATAATATGGATGTTTAGGGGCATGAAGTTAAAGTTTGGGCATCTCATTGATCTGCCTGCATTCCCACTCCAGGCTTAATCCATGTGTTTTTATGCCCTGACTATGAAGAGATTAAATGAAAACCAATGGCAGGCATTTATCTGATTTTAGAATACTGTGTTGTGAATTTTCACATAATAGGGTGATTCACATACTGTATTCAGATTGCATATGGGATAGGCCTGATATTTACAGTGTGTTGTGGCTCAGGCCTTATTTGATCTATGTTGCTTCTTTTGATTTACTTAGATAACCAAGTTTAATAGCCTATTTACTGGGCTTGCCCCCCATCAAATCATTATTCCTCTGCAAACTAACAGCTTTATCTTGTGTGCACTTTTCGAGTATGCCATGCTGGTAGCATAGTTTAATGGGAACTTATAAATAAACTCCATGAGCCAACTCCCACACGCATATTAAAAAGTCCCTAGATCTAGGAAAGCAATTGACTTTTACCTGCCTTCCAGGGCCGAGGGAGGATGAGGATGGCTTTGCACTAAATATCACCACTCTAATGTACCGCTACTTCCCCAAAGAACTACTGAAACTCAATTCATAGTTGAGCCTCCCTCTTTGAATGTATTCTGTGGACCGTATAAAACTCCATCTTTAAGAAAAATATATTGGTATTTTTCATTATATTACTTCAATGCTAAGAATACTGTACTACTACTTTGAAATCTGTGAGATTTGCTATGTATTTCTAATATTTGTATTGTCTTTTTGCTTCAGGAGGCTGAAACTCGGTATGAAGAGCAGATTAGTAAACTTGTATTGGAGAAGCAGGAATTAGAATGGCAGAAGGTACCTAGTTAGACTAGTTGTTGCCTAGTTAGGCTAGTTGAATGAGACAGCTGCAAATATTTGACATTTACATTTTAGTCATTTAGCAGACGCTCTTATCCAGAGCGACTTACAGTTAGTGAGTGCATACATTATTATTATTTTTTTTTAATACTGGAATCGAACCCACAACCCTGGCATTACAAATGCCATGCTCTACCAACTGAGCTACATCCCTGCCGGCCATTCCCTCCCCTACCCTGGACGACGCTGGGCCAATTGTGCGCCGCCCCATGGGTCTCCCGGTCGCGGCCGGCTACGACAGAGCCTGGATTCGAACCAGGATCTCTAGTGGCACAGCTAGCACTGCAATGCAGTGCCTTAGACCACTGCGCCACTCGGGAGGACATTGACTAATGCTTTACTCATTATTGTCAGTGTGCTTGCGTAAGATAGCTAATTAAGAATATCTCACAAATGACGAGAGAATAACAATTATTAAATTATTTATCAGTTCACCTCTGGAATTATTTTCTGAGTTAATGTAATTCCTTATTTTTTGTAGGAATCCCTTCAACATCAAATTGACAACATGGCAAATCAACATATGGAGTCTCTTGCCAATGTTAAAAAACAGGTGATTTTCTCAGTCTCCATTTTTCCGATTGGGCGTAGCAAAATCATATAATATGTTGCTGCAGTGCTCATTTCCTACTGTGTAAGGGAAAGTAGGAAAGGCACATACGATCAACCTTTACGATGGCGAATGTGCATAAATTCAGAATTGTTTTAGCACTGCCCACATCGTTTTTAAACTACGGCGCGCCACATGGTTCAATGTGCCAGTAAATCAGCACAATTTACTTTTTAGTTTTTTCAAATTGCCGCTGTCTTGGAGCTAGTATTGGGATCATGTATACTGTGCTAATGACAATACAAAAAAAGTAACGGAGAGCAATGTACAATATGGCAAACTTAGCAAATTAAGCATTTGTGGTAAGTACATGGGGACCGCCGTCTTTATGCACCTTCGCCATTGATGTATGTGGATGTCTGGTGAAGGAAAAACAATGTAACCAGCTTTAATTTTTTGTTGAAATGATGTCCAACTTTACTTTATAGTTTGGTGACATTTGTTTCTGATATCATGATCATAATAGTTTTGCAATCTGTTTAAATTTTCTCCCCTTAATTAAGTTTCAGTCCAAAATCAGAGGGGTTGAAGGTGAAAAGGTATGATACACTTTAATTATCTTCTTTTATTGATAGTCTTTTTTTCTGACCTTTTTCTCAACATACTGTGACACTAAAGGTCATTGTTTCATATTGTTTTGTTGGAATGCAGTAATTCAGTGATGCAGAAATTACATTACTGAGTTTAGTTTAGACTTAACAAATACAATCTATTCTATTTATTCTAATAAACTAAACAATTCTATTCTGTGGCAATGTTCCTTTGAAGGGAAAGCACCAGCTGACAGCCGAGTTAAAGGACAAGGAGATCAACAGTCTGAAGGAGGAACTGAAATTGTTGCAGGTAACGTTTCTAGAAAACACACACACCCAGAGGGAGCGGGACACCTCTCCATTCCCCCCTGTTCGTCCCATTTGGAGGCTATGGGTGAAGCGCTATCCCGCCGTTGACCTTCTGAGTTGGGGTGTGTGTGGAATAGACACTGGGGTGAGACAGCTAAGGTGATATACGGCAGTCGCCATGGTCCACTGCATTTACAACCTAACCCTGGGATTGGGCAATAACGGCTCTTTTTGATATTTTATTTTGTAGTATTATAATGGACTTCTTGGTAATATTATGGCACAATTGTGTTGACTTTATTTTATGTCCTATCTTAAACCATTTTAATTCCATGTGTTTGTATTGTGAGTTAAATTCTTAAGAGTTTGTGTTTCTATTGAATGTTATTTGCACGTGTGTGAGGCTTTGGTTATTCTATAACATTTCCCTGAAAGTCTGCACTGTAGTTGTCATGAAATCTTGATGAAAAACATAACCGTCTTTTTACTACTGTTTTACAGTTGTTCAAGTACAGTTTGGAGAAGAAATTAAGCGAGCTGGTAAGGATTCCAATTATATAAATTGTTGACGGGGGAGAGTGGGAGTGGGCGGAATGAAAGAGGAGGATGAGGAGAGGGAATGGTTCATCAGGAGTAACGGATAGGGAGTGTGTGACACTTGAACCGCCAGTGCAGCCGAGAAAATATCACTATTAAAATATTTTATAACTGAGCCTCGCTCTGTTTAACCTTCCAGTGGCTAGGAAAAAATGTGTCTTGATACAGACAATCAAACAATAATGACAGCGATGAACAATAAAAGGCTCTCAGGCATGTGTCAAGTTGACTCCTTATCTCTAGGAGGGGAGCTGGCGGCCAAGATGTTAAACAAAGGTCCTCTCAGCCCAAAGTGACAGCAAACTCTTTCCCAGTGTCCTCCTCCTTTGTGGTAGCTGACTGAGGAAAATCATACCAATCCTGACCATTCTACTGAGAGAACCTAGTACTGCTTATTACAGGAGCAAAAGCTGCAGCTGCAGACCCAGACCAAAGACAGCCACCTGAACCAACTGGGGGAGGTGGAGAAGAGGTTTGGGGCTCTCTCCAGACAGTGTGCCATGGTCAAGCAGGCCCACGAGAAGCTGGAGCAAAACGGTATGCCCGCCACAGCCATGCCCACTAACACATTTAGACAGTGTATTTTATGTAACACTTAAGTTGCTCTCATACCATTGCAAAGCAACTTAAAGGTGCAATATGTAACTTTTTGGGCGACCTGACAAAATTCCCATAGAAATGGGAGTTATAGATCTGTCATTCGGAATGAAAGCAAGTCTAAGAAGCGGTAGATCTGTTCTATGTGCGCAATTTCTATGCATCCCGTTTTTAGGTTTAATTTTTGCTTCTTTTACTTTCGGTTTTGTACACCAGCTTCCAACAGCTGAAAACACAATATTTTGGTTTATGGAAAAGATACTTCACAGCGGTTTAGATGGTACAATGATTCTCTAAACTATTCTTGCTTGTTTTGTCACATAAATTAGGCGAACTATTAGAATTTTAGCAACCAGGAAATGGCAGAGCGATTTCTGCATCTTTAATGTAAAGTGTTAGTTACCATATGTTTTAAAATCAAGACTTTCCCCAAGACTAACAGATATTCACCAGTACGGTGGTGGCCTTTTTTTAATCTGAGAAACCTCAGCGTGTTTTGTTATTGTGATGTCTGATAACAGTGGCAGGCCATACATTATCAGGTAGCCATAGCCATTCTTGTCTGACATTTAACCAGTAACTCTGTTGTACTTATATCGCCTTGTTTTTAAAAATATGTTAATCTTTTGCCACTAATCCATAGTATCACTATTTATGTAAAGTGGTGATACAGTTACGGTGGGGCCAGCAGTTGCTGTTAATTTAAAGGAGATAGGATTAATTTGTCTGCCTTGTGGAGTTAGTCTGGAAATTGTTACACTTTTCCATGTGCAGTAAAGAAAGTAGCTACACATAAATCCCAGAAATATTTCATTTGGTCAACAATTACATTATTTAGTTAATTAATTATTTTAGTTCAGAAAGCTTCCATTTGTGAACTCTTGATCCCTTTTACAGTTGAAGATGCCATGAGACTCAATAAGAAACTAACTTCTGTGAATAGAAAACAAGAGTCTACAATCATCTCCTTAAAACAGGTGAGACATGATTTAAATATGAATTTTAAAATGTGTGTTACATCATCAGAGAATACAGATTGCTGTGTAGAGGGTAAGATTGGGGAGAGCAGGCAGTACCTGGGGGTGTAACTCAAATATTTCCCTGCCAAGGAGATCAAAGAAGACCATATATAATTGCTGTGCGGTATCTCTGTAATAGAAATGTACAGCATGCACAGTGCTAAATGGAATAGTGATCTGTTAAGTGGCAGAGACTGAAGGTTACACATATTTTACAATGACAGTTTTCTTACTGTTCCATCTTATGGATGTGGATCTGAGTTTTGGGGTTGATAACCATGTGAGTATCCCACTTTGTAAGTTAAGGCACTCATATGTTACTTTCTTCGTCAAGGATGTGGAGGAACTTAATAACAAGCTTATTAAGGCCAAAGTGCCATCCGTGGGTAGCTCTGAAGAGAACTGCAACCTCACAGTCAAAGAGCAAAACATACAGCAACTTCAACACAGACTGCATGTGGTAAAAGTTATTTTTCTGGATATATAGCAGGGCATTCATTGTTATCTTAATTTACTTGAATTAAATGTTAATAGTTACATTATTTTTCAGGAAACAGCAATGAATAAAAAACTCAGAGATGAGCATACAACTGAAAGAAATGGAAAAAAGGTCAGTATCAATTTCCCCCCACACATAGCATAGTGTATTACATATCCAACCCCTTTCCCCCCAATTACCCCATAATAATGTGGGTTGCTCGATGGGTTGAAAATGTTAAAAGGTTACATTTGATGAATTTGGGGAAAGTGTGTCAGTGTAAAATAAAGGGGGTTGGCTTGTGGGGGTTGCGAGAGGGGGATATCCATGCATGTCAGGCAAGCGGTTGTGCTGTATGTCATTAACACAGACCCCACCCCCTTTGTGTGTGTGTGTGTGTATGTGTGTGTGTGTATGTGTGTGTGTTCAGGAGGTGATGAACTCCCTGCAGCTTACCCAGCAGCTTCTGCTGACACAGACTCAGGCTGTGAGCCGAGTGGAGCTGGAGCTTCAAGCACAGCGAGAGGAGTACCAGGTCAGGACTTTTAGCAATTATTAGTTTCTCCTAGTTTCTAACAAACAAACTAAGCTAAAGTAAAGGGTGCTTTTATATTTTTTGATTAAAAAAAGGGTTTGTTTATATATTCATAATACAAATGTTATTCTGCTCTATGACAACTTATAGCATGTTTTATTACACCCATGACTTATAAGGGAATTGAAAGAGAAAAGGTGTATGATACATTTTCTGAAAATATAACAATTTGAAAAGTTTGATTTAAATGAACAGATTGTACATGGTTAAATACAAAACGGTAGAATAAAAACACTTCCTCTTAGTCACAGAACAAAGGTTTCTTACACCATTTAAATGATTATGGAGTGAAGTTATACAAGGACAGAAATAAATGATGGTGCTTACAGCACCTAAAGATGATGGAGTGTATTGTAGATCACACTTTGCACAATAGTACACACAAAGTGCAACTGAATGATAGTGTGTTTATTCTGTGTTTAAAGACACCTCTCTTATTGTCTTTTACTCACTCCTCTTCCACGTTTTAATTCACCTTCATTCATTTATTAAAATCATTATTAAAATGACACAACCCAACTGATTTGTATTAGCTTCTCTGTCTGTTTAAAACCCTCTGTCCAGGTTAAATAAACACATAAAAACGTATTATTGCATTAAAAATCTCTCGGGTGATTAATTTTATTGCAGGCCCTTAAAAGAGAACACGAAGTGATCCAAGAGAAGACCCAGGAAAAAGAAGACAGATTCACTCATCTGATGGAGGAGTACAAAAACTGTAGAATGATCTGGGAAAATGAGGTATCATTGAATATTGTAAAATACGGTTGAAAATATGTTGTTGTGATGTACTGGACACATGTATTCAATGGACAAAGGCTCTCTTGTGATGTAAAACTAAACTAGACATGGTATATTTACAGTGCATTCGGAAAGTATTCAGACCCCTTGACTTTTTCCACATTTTGTTACATTACAGCCTTATTCTAAAATTATTTAAATTGTTTTTTTCCCTCATCAATCTACACACAATACCCCATAATGACAAAGCAAAAACAGGTTTTTAATGTTTGCAAATGTATATAAAAAAAAAAAAACTGAATAACACATTTACATAAGTATTCAGACCCTTTACTCAGTACTTTGTTGAAGCACCTTTGGCAGCGATTACAGCCTCAAGTCTTCTTGGGTATGACGCTACAAGCTTGGCACACCTGTATTTGGGGAGTTTCTCCCATTCTTCTCTGCATATCCTCTCAAGCTCTCTCAGGTTGGATGGGGAGCGTCGCTGCACAGCTATTTTCAGGTCTCTCCAGAGATGTTTGATCCGGTTCAAGTCCGGGCTCTGGCTGGGCAACTCAAGGACATTCAGAGACTTGTCCTGAAGCCACTTCTGTGTTGTCTTGGCTGTGTGCTTAGGGTCGTTGTCCTGTTGGAAGGTGAACCTTCGCCTGAAGGTTCACTCTGGAGCAGGTTTTCATTAAGGATCTCTCAGTACTTTTCTCCGTTCATCTTTCTCTCGATACTGACTCGTCTCCCAGTCCCTGCCGCTGAAAAACATCCCCACAGCATGATGCAGCCACCACCATGCTTCACCGTAGGGATGGTGCCAGGTTTCCTCCAGACGTAACGCTTGGCATTCAGGCCAAAGAGTTCAATCTTGGTTTCATCAGACCAGAGAATCTTGTTTCTCATAGTCTGAGAGTCCTTTAGCTGCCTTTTGGCAAACTCCAAGCGGGCAGTCATGTGCCTTTTTACTGAGGAGTGGCTTCCGTCTGGCCACTCTACAATAAAGGACTGCTTGGTGGAGTGCTGCAGAGATGGTTGTCTTTCTGGAAGGTTCTCCAATCTCCACAGAAGAACTCTGGAGCTCTGTCAGAGTGACAGAGTTTTGGTCACCTACCTGAACAAGGCCCTTCTCCCCTGATTGCTCAGTTTGGTCGGGAGGCCAGCTCTAGGAAGAGTCTTGGTGGTTCCAAACTTCTTCCATTTAAGAATGATGGAGGCCACTGTGTTCTTGGGGACCTTCAATGCTGCAGAAATATTTTGGTACCCTTCCCTAGATCTGTGCCTTGACACAATCCTGTCTCGGAGCCATACGGAAAATTCCTTCGACCTCATAGCTTAGTTTTTGCTCTGACATGCACTGTCAACTGTGTGACCTTATATAGACAGGTGTGTGCCTTTCCAAATCATGTCCAATCAATTGAATTTACCACAGGTGGACTCCAATCAAGTTATAGAAACATCAAGGATGATCAATGGAAACAGGATGCACCTGAGCTTTTCTAAAAACCTGTTTTCGCTTTGGCATTATGGGATATTGTGTGTAGATTAATTAGGATTATATAAATAAATAAAATAAGGCTGTAACGTAACAAAATGTGGAAAAAGTCAAGGAGTCTGAATACTTTCCGAATGCACTGTATGTGTTATTATTTCACATAGCTATCTGAACACACTATTAAAGTGTTACATTATTTTTGTATTGCATGTGCTTAAACAGAAACTGATGTTACAAGAGAGGATCCAGTCAGAGCACCAAGACCTGAGATCTGTAAAGGAGGCTTATAACCACCTTCATGAGCAACACACAGAACTATCATCCCGTGCTATACTGCAAGCAGAACACATACAGGGACTAGAGGTGGGACAGCAACATCAAAATAGGAGATATGCATGCTGATATACAATGCTGATTAATAACAGAAAGGCCTATGTTTAATTGCAGTATTTCAGCCTCACACCATGAATAACTCAATAACACTATGTTGTCTGTTATGATTCACTTATACAGAGTGGGATGAAGGACTATGTTAAAGACAACGGGAATCCAATGGGTGAAAACAGAGATCAATCCGCTATGGATGAATATGTCTCAAAGGACGTTTGTAGAGTGGACACAATTGTAGTGGATGAAGAGGCTCAAACAGCGGAAAGTGACTCTAGACAGGAGAATCTAGATGTTACAGATGTGTCAGGTAATGTGATCCACTTCAATTGCATGATAAATTATCATTGTTTTAAAATGAATTGCAGATTTAATTGTGGCATTGATGTAGGTGCAATGAATGTAATTTTTTTATTAGCAAATGTATTATTGATGTTGTTTGGCTATGTGATTTACCTACACAGACCAAAGCAGGGAAGTCGGTCCATCCTGTTGTTCGGAGACTGTGATTGATGACTCTCCACAGATAGCCCACTGTAAGGTTATCGACAGTGTACAGGCCACCCATGGTTCCAATCCAGATCGGTCCACAGACGTAGAGGGAGGTGGAAAGAGCTGTCAGGGTGAAGACAAGCCTAGCTCGGTGCTCCAGCCACCAGCAGGAAATCTGAAGGAGTTGACCTCGCTCCAGTCTGGATCTGCAGACGGTCCGACCACGGTCACAGACATGGTCCATGTGCGGAGTATTTGCGGAATAGGAGAAGGTCAGTCAGCTGACTCAAACAACAAACGTAACTCCAGTGATTTCAATGATCCAGTCTGCAGTTTGATTAATAATGTCTGCTCATCCAGCAATGTCCATCTGAGCGACAAAAGTGACTCTATGAGTGGGCTATCTGGCTCTGAGAACAGGTCTGTTTATGGTGCGCTAAACAGTGACCCAGTGGCTGGAGGAACAAGGGATGGAGAGCAAAAACAGAGTGTGTATATGCCAGAGATGACAACCAGCCAGACATTTAATAAACACAGAGGCAGACAGAAAAGCACATCATCATTTCAGGACATTGACCCAGTCCAAGCGGTGACCCCATTGGCAGTCTCACAGTCAGATCCATACAACTTTCTCCTTCAGAAGGTCGTTGAAATCCATGTAATAAGATGTCACACGCCAGAGGTCAATGAGGTCAACATCCTTCCAGAGTCACATAGCAGCTTATTACCAGCCTCAGCCCAACAACACAGCAACACACACATTGAGAATCCGACAGAACAAGAGACAACCGGAACATATTGTCTTCCATCACAGCCCCTGAACCTGCCACAGCAAATCAATCCCCATGGTGTTGTTGCACAGGACTGTGCTCAGTCTGACTGTAATATTGGAACCATGGAGCCTGAGGACAAGCATGAACAACCAGCTAGAGACTGTGTGCCAGTGACTGAGGATGCACTCTATCCTAACTGTCAGGAAACCTTACCAGAGAGTGGAGCTCTCGATGTGAGCCCTGATGCTCGAACCCATGGAGATCCTGAACAACCATCTCCAATGGCTATGGATTCACCACAGTCTGAGAGGGTTCATGAAGGCCACTGCTCTAACTCTACAGTGGAGGAGAAGTTGAGACCACAACATGCCAATGACAAAGATACTGAAGTTAAGCACAACAACCCAGCAACCTCCAAACCCCCAAGCGATGAGACAGATCTCTCCCCCAAAAGCAATAATTCAAAACAATCTGGCCTGCTGAAAGCTGAGGAGAAGATATCTGAAACCATTGACTTTTCGTTTCTAGCAAGCAACAAAAGATATCGATCATCATTTGAGTTAACTGCAGAGAAAAGGGACATACATTCCAGGAACATGCACAGCATCGCAATTAGTCAAAGTGCCCACGACAGCAGGCCTACAACCCCTACATGCCAGATATCCCCAGTGTCTGACCTGAAAACCAAACTGTCCTCTGGATTCCAAGAGCCTCCTTCTCCATTCACAATACCCATCTTTCTAAAGGGCAAGCAAAACGCCAGAGGTGAGTGAGGCAATCATTTAGAGTACTCTAGTGTAAAGATAAATTATGGTATTTTCAAATAATCTTTCTTGTTTTGGGGCTTCATGATTGCCTCCCTGAGATTGGCATACCTGCATTTTAATAAAATTAATCAGATTGGCTTCCATTCCCTGTTTGGAATTCAGATCCTTCAGTGATGACTAGGTCTGCAGACTCGCAGAACCCTCCCAGCTTCCCGACGTCCCACAAGAGAGATCATCAAGGGGAATGGAACACCATTAGAGAGACGTTTTATGAAATGTCAGCAGAAAAAGTGAGTTGATATACAGTATCTAAGGAGCAGGAGGGAAAACCCTAGTGAGCTAAACTCACAGCTATGCAGAGCAATGAAGTTAAAAAGTGTGCTTCAAGTTGATTTCCATTTCCAAAAACGTTTCAGCAGGGTGGAATGAGGTTGATAGTCTCAGTGTATTCATCACGTAGAGCAGGGGTGTCGAACTCATTTTTCCCCGGAGCCCGCATTCGGTCTTCAACGAGGGCGGAGGGCCGCACTGATTTTGTTTTATATTTCCTTGCCGTCAAAAAATGCAAAGAATAGTCCTCTATCCATAGTTTGGGGAATTGTCGATGCTCCATGACTGTCTAGTGATTATTAGTGAGCTGAATGAATATAGGGCCATTATCATTTCTACACAGTTTCGATTTTAATGTATACTGAACAAAAATATGAACGCAGCATGTAAAGTGTTCGTCCCATGTTTCATGAGCTGAAATAAAAGATCCCAGATATATTCCATACGCACAAAAAGCTTATTTCTCAAAAGTGTTGTGCACAAATTTGTTTACATCCCTGTTAGTGAGAATTTATCCTTTGCCAAGATAATCTATCCACCTGACAGGTGTGGCATATCAAGAAGCTGATTAAACAGCATGATCATTACACAGGTACACCTTGTGCTGGGGACAATAAAAGGCCACTCTAAAATGTGCAGTTTTGTCACACAACACAATGCCACAGATGTCTCAAGTTTTGAGGGAGCGTGCAATTGGCATGCTGGCTGCAGGAATGTCCACCAGAGCTGTTGCCAGAGAATTGAATGTTCATTTCTCTACCAACGTCGTTTTAGAAAATTTGGCAGTACGTCCAACCGCCTCACAACCGCAGCCCACTTGTAACCAAGCCACCCCAAGACCTCCACATCTGGCTTCTTCACTTGCTGAATCGTCTGAGTGGGGAGGGGGTGCTGAGGAGTATTTCTGTCTGTAATAAAGCCCTTTGGTGGGGAAAAACTCATTCTGATTGGCTGGGCCTGGCTCCCCAGTGGGTGGGCTTGGCTCCCAAGTGGATAGGCCTATGCCCTTCCAGGCCCACCCATGGCTGCGCCCCTGGCCAGTCATGTGAATTCCATAGATTAGGGCCTAATTTATTTATTTCCATTGACTGATTTCCTTATATGAACTTTAACTCAGTAAAATCTTTGAAATTGTTGCATGTTGCGTTTATATTTTTGTTCAGTGTATATTGAGTTTGTACCCCTCCCCCGGATTGGACCCCTGGCCCGCGAGCCGTATTTTTGACACCTTATCTCGACTCTGAAGGGATAGATTGGTAGACGGGATCAACCATGCTTGGGATTGTCTACAATGTTGAATCAACTCTTCCTTATATGTTTATAGGGAACCCTGAGGCATATCTGTGACAGAAAACAGTCCAAACTATTGCAGATCATTGTTTCCTGTAAACCTTTTTTGTCTTTTGTATCCAAGCCTCTGAGTTGAGGGTCACAGAGATGCTTCTGTTGAGGGGTGGGATTTTCAACATATAAAACTCACATAGCTAGATAGAGAATGGATTGGCTGTGGGAATAGGCTACCTAATGATACTTTGCTACCTCTCCTCACTCACTCACTCTCTCGTCACAGTCATCGCATCGTGTCAGTCTGCTGTTTATCAGAGCCAGGTGCTGTAAATTGAGAGAGAAATAACCAAGCATGTCTAATGTATGAGGGGAAAGACCCTCAATACAGTAAGGGGACAATTGCAACAAATTGGATCTATTATTTAAGGCCAGATGGCTCATAACATTGTATTTATTATAAACAGCAAGGCACAAAGGTGAAAGATAGCAGCAGTGGAATGCTATAGGGCAGGGGTGTTCAACCAGGGGTACTGTGGTTGAACAGGAGCATATCTTCTCTCTAATGATGTCAACTTTATTTCTCAACTCAATTTATTTCTCAATTACACTCATTGGAGCTAATTACACTCACTGGAGTATCTGACATAGGCTTTGAAGAATCACCCGTGAGTACCAGTCGCGGCAAGTGCCGCTGACTGCTGGTAAGCTTGCTTGACTTAGGGCTCTATTCAATCCGTATCGTGGAAGTACCTTTACATTTCTATTGTGCAGCAATACTGATTGAATAGAGCCCTTAATACGTTTTTGCCAACACATGGCAAACTTTTGTTTAACCAGCTGAACAGCTGCTATTAGCGAAAATGTGTTTGGAGTTACCTTTTTATCTAATATGTATCAGGACTGAGGATAAGACCCAGATGCAGACAGTTTGAATCACAGATGTTTATTACGGCAGGCAGGCTCAGGGTCAGGGCAGGCAGAATGGTCAGAAATCCAAGGCAGCTTTTAAACAGGTACAGAACGGCAGGCAGGCTCAGGGTCAGGGCAGGCAGAATGGTCAGAACTGGGAGGACTAGAAAACAGAAACTAGAAAAGCTCGAAAACGGGAAAACATGCTGGTAAGCGTTGACGGGACAAGACGAACTGGCAACAGAAAAACAGAAAACACTGGTATAAATACACAGGGGATAATGGGGACAAATGGGAGATACCTGGTGGGGGGTGGAGACAAGCACAAGACAGGTGAAACAGATCAGGCCGTGATAATATGCTACGTAAGAGTTTACACTTCCTCTTCCAATTATTATGCGGGGAGGTCAAAATAATGAAAAACTATCTACCAAATCGATTCATTTTAAAATGTTGATTACTTCTCCTTGCCATTTACTTATTTTGCTAACATATGAGGGGGTCCCTGGGTCGCCGGTTTGCCTGGGTGTGGGTTGAAGACCCCTGTTAAAGGGATATACTGTACATTTTCACAGTGATGAACTGTAGGCTATTGTGTTCATTTCTGCAGGAGAGCAGAGATCACATCCCAGTCAGCTCTGCTTTACCTATCATCACGAACCCTTCCTCTATGGGCAGCAGCAGGTTGTGGCAGGACTACCCCAGGACCATCTCCTCTCCATGTCACCCCAGCTTCAGCAGAGGGACTGCTTCTGAGGCTTTCCCACCCAGCTCACAGGACGACGAGGAGTCACAGCAATCCAACATCAGAGCCCAAATTGCTAAAATAGAGCCGTTCCTGTGCTCCGCGAGGTTGAGACTCCCAAAGAAACGCAAAATGGATGAAATTGAAACTATGCAGTTGTAAAGAAGTACTAGAGTTGATTTCATTAAGTTATTGATCATTACATTAAGTTCACACTATCAAACTTGTTCAAACTATCAAATGTTCTGTTATTGAGATTTGAAAACACTTAAGGCAAGAAGGCATTGTTAAATTATTTTAAGTGGTTTCTTGTATGTATTTATTTATGGATCTATTTATGGATTTATTTATGGATTTCACCATATTTATTAATAGATCCATGCTGTTTATTGTTGACCTACAGTTCTGTATATTAAAAGTAGCCTAATTTTCAGTACCTGGCTTGTTTTAGCTCTATTGTCATAGACTTGAGAAGTATGTTTAAAAGGATAGTCAGCAGTCTTACGTTGCAATACGACACACTGAAACAGAAAAACAAAGGTAGCAAGAAAATTGCTTTGCCTAATTGTTTACAAGCTAATTAACTCTTAATTACTCAACAGCCAATCTGGCAGTGCCTCGGGGAATTTAATGAAGGAAACACCACTTGTTTCCAGCAGGTGCACTCACACTGGGCAACTATATCTTGGGCTAATTGGAATACACAACTATTAAACAAGAATCAATTAGTACACATTAACCCAAATTAACAAATGCAAATGAGCTTCTCATTAAGTTTATGTCCCTCCTGTTAGGAAGCAGTAGAGACCATATGGACACGTTAGGGCGATACAGTTGACAACATATGTTGCTCACGGGCCTCACCGGTCAAGATTAACAAGTGGATATTTTATTTCAACTTGCGGGGCAGGTGTAGAGAGTGGTGTTGTGAATAGAGAAAAGAAAACTGGCCTTTCACCACAGCACTTATACTGTAACCATGGATAATTACTATGCTGTAAGTTAGCGATTGGGATGATCACTTTGAAATAGATGCCAGAAGATGCTGGCAAATGTACTCCAAAGAATATTGGATATTTTTGCCGAATTGAAATGCAGCAGAAGTGTAAATAATGGCAATTTCCAATTTGTATCACTACAGAACCCTGGAGAATACAAATGGAAATAGAATGGCTTTTCAGACAGTTACCCCTATAGACTCGTTTTGCTCCTACAGATCCTCAGTAGGCTTAATACTCAAGTTGTATTCCTCAACAAAATTCCTTGCACAGCTAAAATCCACACACCTTCGACAGTAGCACAAGGTCTCTCTGAGCCGAGGTCCATCTTACTGCACTTACCCATTATGAATACGTCAAAATGTTAATGCCCTCATAAAGAAGTCTTATGTGTTTGAGTGTCTCAGCCAGTGGTGCTGACCCCTATCCTTAAACGGAGGGTGGGATATGGGGCAATATGGACAGGGTCATTTTAATACACAGCCAGGATTATGAAGCGGTGGTCCTTTGAAACAGTCAATTACACTTGAGCGCGGGAGGACCCCGATGTTAATTACCAGTTGGTTTTATATAGTGTGTAAATAAAGAGGCTGCTGACATTCACATTCCATCACTGTTTCCTCACTGAGTGCCAAGCAAATTAGCCAGGCCCCTGCTCTACTCTTCTCTGTGTGCTCCACTGAGTCCTGTGCATCAGCTAACATTAGAATAACACCCAGTGCAAACAAGGTTGAGGAAGGTGCTCTCTCTCTCTGGGAACAAGACGACCTGTTCAAACTCATGCAAACATACAGTATAGTCTTCTTTCACTGTGGTGGGTGTGAATCACAGACCTCAATGATCGACTGTCATTTGTTTCAGCCCTTTCTCTCCTAATTATAATTTGAATGTCTTACCTGTGCTATTGGTAATTTTTTATTTTTTATATATACTATAGAGACCAGAGAGACTGTTGTCTATCACAGGTGAGTGTGTGAGCAATAATTACTGCCAGAGTTTGAAAACTAAGTTGAGTAAAGTTGAGAGAACTTTTATGTGCTCAACATGTATTCCCCACATAGGATATGAGCCTCAAAGCCCGAACAAACACCTCGTCACACATCTTTACTGTTTGAGTCAAGTTTTGAGTTTACTCCTGATTTACAGTCACATTTGATTAAATAGTCTGCATAAGCGGGGAAAACATTCTATTTGCCAATTTTCTGCAACCTTGGACTAAACGGATCCCTCTAAATGCTCAGTGCTTGTGGAATATCATGAGGTTTTAGAGCTTGTGGAATATCATGAGGTTTTAGAGCTTGTGGAATATCATGAGGTTTTAGAGCTTGTGGAATATCATGAGGTTTTAGAGCTTGTGGAATATCATGAGGTTTTAGAGCTTGTGGAATATCATGAGGTTTTAGAGCTTGTGGAATATCATGAGGTTTTAGAGCTTGTGGAATATCATGAGGTTTTAGAGCTTGTGGAATATCATTAGGTTTTAGAGTTTGTGGAATATCATGAGGTTTTAGAGCTTGTGGAATATCATGAGGTTTTAGAGCTTGTGGAATATCATGAGGTTTTAGAGCTTGTGGAATATCATGAGGTTTTAGAGCTTGTGGAATATCATGAGGTTTTAGAGCTTGTGGAATATCATGAGGTTTTAGAGCTTGTGGAATATCATGAGGTTTTAGGTTTTGTCATATTATGTGTCTTTACTTCAAAAGCCATCACAATAAATCCAACCAGGAAGTCTTATTAAATTGAGAAGAAAATGTCCTGTAAAGCTTGAGTGCAATCCTGGCACTCCAAGTGCGCTGCCTCATGAAGTGAAATACTTCAGCTGCTGGTCTATAAAATACTTAGGGTACATGAGTACATTATAATGGGCTGATTTTATAGTGCCTCTAGATGTTTTTTAAAGAATTGCCCAGATGAGTGTTATAACAATGTGATTAATACATAAACCAAAGATGTATGAAGGGATCATTAAAACTATTGAAAATATAATCACAAACAACGCTAGGTTGCTTGTGATTATATTTTCAATAGTTTTAATGATCAACAACCTTGACCTCGCCTTTTTTTGCATTAGTTTTACGCATCTACTTTATAGTGTTATACACTTGAGTATTGATAGAAAAGGGATATTATACAGCCTCTACTCTACAAGCACTTACTGTACTAAACCTCACAACTTGACAATGAATAACTGTCTTTACCTTTGCTTGCAAGGTTTAAGATGAGTGACTATACTCTTGGTCTCCCTGTGGGCATGTGCACAGCTGTGCATCACCTCTCCTGGGTCTGCTATGGGGAGCATAGAGAACTTCATCTTAGGCCGGCCCCCACTGTCAAAGGTCATCCGGGTTTAAAGTTCACACTTTACATCATTTATATGCTCTTAAATAAGCTCATCCCCTTCTGTCTTCGCATTCTCACTTTTTGCTCTAAATTATCAGTCAAGGAAAATTTGGATATATCCCAGGTAAAAATCCTTCTAGTGAGAGAGATATGAAAGTAAGGCTGATACTCTTTGGACGGTTCCTCTGATTGAATAATACTCCTCAAGGAACACCATGGCAACGCCATAAGTTTTTGATTTGAGACAATGTTGAGAGCATCACATGGGTACATGATCCTCCCACAGCCGGGTATGTCACTAATGCCATATATCTGTAGTAGGAATAACTCTGACTGTGTGGAGCTCCATAAAGTATTAAGCATTTTAGCTGTGATTGAGGGAGGAACTGGAGCTGGGTCTTAACTCATATGCCATCTTGCATTAAGCCGCGTCCCCATTGAGGTGTCAGCTCATAAGTCTCCCACAGCAGGACTTAGCAGCCAAATGATGGAGAACACTTCTTCACTCCAGGGGATCTTGTAAAACTGCCAATGCCCCCAGCCTCCCCTCCTAGTCTCGGCCTCAATCTCAGCCTGCACTACTCTTCCTTAATCATGACCACAGAATGACAAGCCAACATCCATTAAGCAACAAATGTATTTAGTTACCAACTTGTAAAATGTTCTAGAGATAGGGGATTTTCTGTTGTTCACTAAGTAGTGCTCTTCTATTTATTCATTGTTGAAACATGGCTGGAGATCACAGTGACTTGTAAAGTGCTTTTATTATGTTTCGAAACGCTCAAATATGTATGGTATAAAAAAAAGCATTATCCTCTATAATCATGTCAATGTTAGTTTATGACAGAATAAATACGGTTTTGTTTAAAGTTACAGTAGGCCTACTGTGTGTCTGTGTGTGTGTGATTCAGTGTAAAAGTGCGATGTGTTTCTCAATACTGCTTTTCTCCACTATCTTTTCCAGTGCAACGATGTTCCACATGTCAAATGTAAATACATTTATAGAATGCTCTCTGAACTTTACTTGTATAACCAGAATAATCTAAAGATTGAAACTGTATACCAAGTACCCTCTGCACTTTAGCTGGTAAAAGTATTTTTCTTGATGCTTTTAGATGACCGTTCTAGGAAACTGCTGTATTCAACATAGCACATAATATTATGTACATCTCTGACTTAACCAGCAAATATCCGATATACTTACACTTGCAAACTGTCTTTCCTTCATTCCTTGTAGGGTATCTGCTTATTTTACCAGCAAACCAGAGAACCTCCTGATGAGGCTTCAATGACATGCTCTATTACTCTCACCAAGCGACCCTCGACTTCACCTCTCTGACGAATGGAGCCTCTGACTTGGGGGGTGTTGATCCCAGGTTAGCTGTCCCTTTTGCTCCCTCTCTCACCTTTTCTCTGTTTTTTTGTGTGGATCTGGATCCTGGTACAGGGTCTTGGTGATATTATAACAGTATATGAGATGGAAGAGGACGTTATGAGATGACAGATGTGGAGTGTGTAATTTGAGGTTTGGTCTCTTTCTTAACTCCTATAAATAAATCTGTATTTGCTTCCTAACGGGTCATATTATTATCACTCAATTAGTAGATCCAGTCTCAGTTTTCAGCACTGTGGCCCTTTACTCTGGTTCCCACTGGCCAGAGAAGAGCTCATCAGAGAAGGCCACGTCTGAGTGAGCTGCTGGTATGCCGGAGGGAGAAGCTCCAGAGCTCCAGAGAGAGGCAGCTCAGTGAAAGGATAGAGGATATTATAGGCCATCCTAGAGAGGCTCAGTGATGAGGAACCAGCGCCTGGAACAGGTAG